CCGTGACGTCACTAACCAGTAGGTGGCAGTAGTGTTCTTTGACAAACATGGATGCCTCCAGTAAAGCACATTACTCTGAATTAAAAACCCTGATCATTTATTGAACAGGATGGAATCATTTTTAATTCTGAATAAGACCGGACTTCTCCTTTAAATCCCACGGAAGCTGCTCCATGTGTCGTTCTCCTTGTGGCGTCTTTCATCATCACAGTGAGTCCTTTGGTTTTGGTTTTATCTCAGGAGTAAAATTAAAAACTACACACAAGGCTGCGAGAACATCGCCACCCACCTGTGTAACCTCACATCCTTCGAATACTCCGTGTATGGGTCGTATAAAGGGCAGGTCCGGGCAATGCTGGGAGCAGAAACCTCCGACTGGGTGGAGAGCAACTGGATCACTTTGGACAAAGACAGTGAGTCTGTTTATCAATGCAATGGACGACTGGTGGTGGATTCCTAATAATAATCCACGAGTTGCTCCTAATCTGCCATATAATCCAACCAGTCTGGTATTTTGGTTTCTCTGTAGCCATCATCGGTCCTCCCACGGTGTCCCTGATCCCCATTGGTCAAACTCTGGAGGTCAGCATCAAAGATCCAGACTTCCATCTCTCCTCCCTGAGGGAAGTCTTCAATTTTCCCACCTACTACATCACCTACTGGAAGAAAGACCAGAAAGAAGAGGTGGGTTAGATCTGTGTTGTCCAGTAGTTATAAACACCCCAAATAGGGCTGGTAAATATGTGTCTTAATCAGACTTTCACTTGTTGTTCTGTAAATATTTTATATTTTGATTTATTTTTCACAAATCAAAATAGAAACTCAGAATACATCAATAAAATAAGAAATGAAATGGAGTGTGAATGAAAGTGTGGATCAAGCTCAGGTCATGGTTAGACAGATAAATCTGCACAAATAAAGAATAAATTCACAACTTCCTTATAGAATTTGACAATTTATTCACCAAAATCATTCATCCCCAATTAAAACATATTTCTATGGGGCTACATAGGGCTCAGTTTTCACAGACACATATATGTGATTCATACAAGCACAGCACCAGTTTCAGCAAAGTATTTCTGGTCCAGAAACAATTACTAAAATAAATTAAAAAAGTATAAGTGGTCTTTAAACTTCAACTTATTTGTGTGTGGATTTCTGAGAGTCTCCTGACGTGCCTCGATACACAAATGCATTTTTTAAAGAATGGAATGTGGAATTGAGACCAATGTAGCTCCAGATATTTCAGCTAAAAACTTGTCACTGAACTGTCATGATTTAACTAGAGATCAGACCCAAATGCAGAAGACCAAACAGAGAGACCAGGGAAAAGGTTTAACAGGTTCATTTAGGAGATTGTGAAGAATCCAGAGTTGCTCTGAACAAGGAACTGAAAGGTGAGGGGAAGACACTGCGGTTAGTTCAGGCTCAGTGGGAAATTTGAATCCCAAACTTGAAGACAGGGTTCCCGCGGGTCCTTAAAAAGTCTTAAAAGGCATTGAAATCTTCAAAATAAAACGAAGGCCTTAATTGGTACTAAAATGTCTTAAATCAGTCTTTCGAAGGTCTTAATTTTTAGAACATCATAAATAGGATTATTTTTATTATGATTTATTTTTTTTATCTAAATAAAACATTAAAATTGACCCTTTTTTTTATTTAAAAAAATAACGGCTCGCCATTATTGGTTCCGTCCCGATAGCGGAACCAATAAAAGCGTTGTTGCGGAGATGCACCATTAACTTTTTGTCTGGAAAATATGAGGAAGTGTTTCTCAGTTTAGTTCCACCCTTGTCTCTGCAACGCCTCCACTTATCACCAAATCAAGCATACTAAGAAAACCATACAAAGAAAAATAGCTGCTAAAAAGACTTAGCACTGGTTATGTTGGGGCTTTAAAACTGATTAGTTTTGTTCCCTGCTGAAACAAAGTTTGTGAATTCAGTTAAATAATTGTTCAAATATATCTGTCATTTGTGTGTTTTTAGCTTTCTTCCTGTATGGGAAGCTTTTCAAACTTTGAACCATTAGTGCAGTGGTTTATGTTATAATAAACCTTTGGGTTAAGTTGATGCAAACAGGTTTGTCTTGTTTCTTGTGAATTTGGTCTTAAATTTTTATTTAAAGTGGCATTAAAAAGCC